CTCTCTCTCTCTCTCTCTCTCTCTCTCTCTCTCTCTCTCTCTCTCTCTCTCTCTTGTGTGCGTTCTTAGTCTCATTGATTTGGCTACCTCTAGGGCTGCGTTCCCCGCGCCCAGGCTGTAGACAATTGTTTGAAGTGAACAATAGGGGTAGGTGGGACCTCGCTCGTTTTGGAAGTGTTGGGGGGTGGAGTTGCGGGGAGATATCCTAGACGCCGTACCTGCAACGGATTGGCACTGCACTTGACTGCACTGCACTGCACTACACTGCACACCCGTGTGCAGGGCCTCGACCCTGTCAGACAGTTACCAGCAGTCTCGGAGAGCTAAATGAGAAAGAACTTCCGGCTATAACATAGCCAGATGCACCCGCGCCGTTTTTGTCTTTCCCGCATTTCGAGAGTGGTGTGGCAAGGCCCTGTGTCGGAGGAACCGTCGCGCGGGGCCGGAGGAGAACCATCGCCAGGGCCGCGGCCGTTACGAAAAAGTGGCGGGAAGAAAGAAGGGGGGCCTGAACTGAATGAAGCCGCGCGCGCGAGTGGCTTGCAGCGGCTGCTTTTTCGTCGCTCTCGACGGCGAGGGAATTGCCGAGGAATGTGTGAGCGAAAGCGGGAGTTATTACATCCATCCGATCCAATCCAATCCAAATCCAATGAGCGGCGGGGGGAAAGGAGGGGAGGGCGAGGAGGTGGAGGAGGAGGGGTGGCGAGGAGGGGAGGGAGAAGAAGGTGGGGCGCGAAGCGCCCGGCGGCTAGGGACTAGGGACGGACAACGGCGGGAAGGTCTTCTTCGTGCGCAACTGGCGGACTGAAGAACTAAACAGACTGTCGTTGACAGGCGCGCACTGGTCCCAGTGCGGTTGAGCTTGACCAAAGCTGCTGTGGGCTTGAGCAAAGCTGCTGTTAGCTGCTGTATAAGCTGCTGTAAGCTGCTGTAAGCTGATTGTGGCGATTGATTGGGGGGAATCTGTGGCACAATTCATTCCATGAGTGCTTGCTGGTTCGTTCCAGCTGTTAGCGTTGCCCGACTTTTGAATTGAACGGTGGGGATTCAGGATGCCGCCGAAGAAGAAATCGAAATCGAAGAGTGGCCGCTCGACGCCCGCGTCGAAGAAGAGCGGCAAGGAAAAGAGGGGGAGGAGAGGAAAGAAGAAAGGGAATGCCAACGCTTTCTTTACATCGGAAGATGACACGCTTGCCTTCGGTTTCCGGGTGCGTCCCGCTAAACAGTAACAGTAACTTCTCCTCGGCAGGATTTCGGTTTCGTGGTAGCATTCGTTCCTCGTACCGTTCACACACAATCGCGTGCGTTTTTTATTTCCACAACGCATGAACACCATTAACATGACGAATCTGCTGGACAGAACGAGCCAGAGTCGTGCTCAGTACTCTTCCCAGTAGAGAATACAACTCTGACCAATCGATCCTCTTCTCAGCGTGCAGCTCTCTCTCTCTCTCTCTCTCTCTCTCTCTCTCTCTCTCTCTCTCTCGCTCGCTCGCTCGCTCGCTCGCTCACACACACACACACACACACACACACACACACACACACACACACACACACACACACAGCTTGATGAGTCGGCGAAAGTGCGACGAAAGAGTCTGGCACAGTCATGCTTTTTCTAGATAGTAGCGAGTAGTGCGTGGGCCCAGAGCCAAACAGTAACTAAGCAATGCATGCTAATCTCTGCGTTCAGCTCTCTCTCTCTCTCTCTCTCTCTCTCTCTCTCTCTCTCTCTCTCTCTCTCTCTCTCTCTCTTTGTGTGGCTGGGTGGATGCGTGCGCATGCGTCCGCGCGCAATCCGTTCGGATGGGTGGGTGCGTGCGCATGCGTCCGCGCACAATCCGTTCGCTCTCTTTCGTAACGGAGAGGAAATACAATGTGAAGGTGCCTTTTTCTTGCAGAACGAAGCTGGCAGCGATGTAGCTGCAGTGGGTTTGTGGGCTCTTACAATCGCCTGACAGCCTTCGTCATATCTTGACTAACCGCGATCCATCATGATGACTCTCTGTGGTGTACTAAAACGAGCTCACGCTTGTCAAAACTAGCGCCGCCGCCGCCGCCGCCGCCGCCGCCGCCGCATTGGATTCGCGTCTCGGCTGGCCCACGGTAGCAAATGGTATCGTCGGAGTAGGGCGCAGGCGTCGCGAGGGCATGTTCGTGCTTGGGTCGAAAGTGCAGTAGCCCCGGATTGAATACGGTGTGACCCTTTTTTTTTTTTTTTTTTTTTAATATACCGGTGTGACTATTTGTCGTCGACCAGTGCACTCAGGAAGAATGTACGACATCGAGCAATTATTACGGTATCATCACTTTTAAGTTAGTGATGACCTATCTCACGCTTGTAGGCCTTTTTGGACTTAGCTCTGGACGTAATTGCAGTCAGATCCAGGCGCTTTTGGACGTAGCTCTGGACGTAATTGCGGTCGGATCCATCCAGGTCACGATACAACTCCGATCATCTACATATTTAAGGAAAGACCAACTCGTACTGCGAGTATGCCCTTAGATGGGTCATCAACCGTGACGGTCAGTCCTTCGATACATCCGCTTTTTTTTTTTTTTTTTGACAAATCATTTCATCACTCAAAATTCAATGAGGCCGGGGGGACCTCACAATCACCCCGGAAAAAAAAAAAAAGCACTTGAGAGCATTCCTCAGCTTCGCTTACAGCCACCAGGGCTGACTTAATCCTTCTATATGATCGTTTCATAACAGACCTCAGATTACCACTAACCAGGGCCGAGGTCCCACTAGCAAAGAGGATAGGATCAAGCTCCTGAATCTTGATGTGTTTTATGGAGAGGTGCAGAAAGGCAGTTCAATCTAGATTTCCTGCACCTCTCCACAATTAGGTCCAGATTCAGGCATTCGATCCTATCCTCTTTGCTAGTGGGACCACGCCCCAGATGTAGGACTACTCAACTGCCCAACTAAACTTGCTCCCCACATGCGTTAAAATTGCAATAATAAAGAGTTTTTTGTTTTTCTCTTTTCTTATAAATAAAATTAATGTGGTACCATAGACCACGGATCAGAACTGATCGAAACTGATCGGGAGCGTGGTCCCACTAGCCACGAGTCTGGGATTGAATGCCTGAATCTGGGCGTGTTTCTGCACAGGTGCAGGAAATCGAGATTGAACTGCTTTTCTGCATCTCTGCGTGAAACACATCCAGATTCAGGCATTCAATCTGATCCTCTCTGCTAGTGCGACCTCGGCCCAGATTAGCCGAAAGGCCGAAGAAGGTACAATAAGGAGAAGATTAGGATGGCCCCTGCGCAAGGATGACACGCATACGTAAATCGCAGGCAGTCAATTTTATATATATATATTGTCATTTACAGTGTAATCAGTGAGGGGATTCTGCAGACTGTTGAGGGTTCAGCCTCCTGATGAGTCGGTGAAACTCCGACGAAAAAGTTTGTCACANACGAAAAAGTTTGTCACAGCCCCTCGTTTGTTGTCCTCTTCTCTCTCTCTGCCTACGGTTTACCGGGCAGTTCTGTTTGTGACGATATATATATACATATTTTTTGGGGGGGGGGAAGGGGGAGGGGGGGGGAACATCAACCGTCAGAATCCGTGTACTGAGAGAAAGGATGGACAGGAGAGAGAAAGGGACAGCGTGCTCTGGATCAGCGATTGATATCTGTAGACGCGAGGATCAACGGCCAGAAAGAGAGTGATTGCGCGCCTGCACTGGAGTCGTTAGAGTTAGAGAGAGAGTACTGACACGTTTCCTATTTTGTCGAGGGAGTGTGGACGTAATTGCAGTCGGATGAATTCAGGAAAGTACAGAAATGTGAGCATGCCCTGAATCGCGGATCGGTGATATGTTGGTGTCAGCGGCGAGCCAGCGCAATCGACAGAAAGACAGCCATTAAAAAAAAAAAAGAAAAAAAAAAAAGAAAAGAAAGAAAGAAAGAAAGAAAGCCATTGGGCCTTGCTCCACTATTCACGCACCAAATGCGCAAAATGAGAATCAAGGAATGTGGCTGTAATTGCAGTGAGAGGAAAGTGCGAGTGCGAGGGCGAGGGCGAGATCGCACTAGAAAAGAGGATTGGAGTAACGCCTGAATCTGGATGTTTACTCAGCAGAGATGCAGAGAACCCAGATTAATTAATCGCCATTTTTCTGCACTTGTCCGCAACCCTGTCCAGATTCCGGCGCGTTCAATCCAATCCACCTGAGTACGCCCTGTATCGTCGCGGATCGTTGTTGCGCTGTTGTCACCGGCGAACCAGCGCAATGATTCATTGAGACTCACCCATGTACTGTTGATGAACAGCTCACAACAACAACACACACACACACACAAAAAAAAAAAAAAAAAAAAGAACAGCTCACAAGGTCAAATCCCTCTCTGAGGATAATCCTAACCTCTTCTTCTTTTTTTTCTTTTTTTTTAATCTCCGGCTCATGGTACTAGACAGGGTGATAAGAGCATCCCCCCCTCGTACCCTTTCGCCGGGCGCTCCAGTCTTATGTTAACCTCTTACCTTCTGCTTCATCGAAGCCGTTCTTCCACTTTCGCGTGCTGCTTTAAGGCATGACCTATCACAAAAAAAAAAAAAAAAAAAAAAAAAGGCATGACCTATCACTGTTACGACAGTCTTCCCCCGAATACAACGTACGGTCATTATAGCTTGTATTTGAGGCATCTTTCAGTCTAGATACAGCTATAATGACCCCACGTTGTATTCGGAGGAAGAAGGTACGGCAGTCTTCGCCCAAGTTCTTCGACGACTTACCCATGTACTGTTTAATGAACAGCTCAGAAGTTCGAATCCCCCTGGGTTAATAACACTACACTTGTCCTCGCCCAAGTAGAACGCACAGTTATTGTAGGTGCTGCATTTGTTGGGCCAACTCTCAGCTTTTGATTGAATGCATCTGAACATGGTTTTGAGTGCATCTGGACGTAGTTGCACCACTACCCATCCGCCAAGGATTTGAATGCATCTGAACATGGAGGCTGTCTAGATGCATTCAAAATCGTTGCAGATGGCGAGTGGTGCAACTAGGCCCTTAGATACGGCGGCGATAATTACCATGCATTCTATTCCGTTGAAGACTGTAGGAGCCACACACACACACAAAAAAAAAAAAGAAAAAAACTGTTTAAAAAAAAAAAAAAAAAAGACTCTAGGGGCGTGGTCCCACTAGCAAAGAGGATCGGATCGAATGCCTGAATCTGGACGAGTTTATGGAGATGTGCAGGAAATCGAGATTGAACTGCTTTTCTGCATCTGTGCTTAAAACACATCCAGATTCAGGAGCTCGATCCTATCCTTTTTGCTAGTGGGACCTCGGCATAGGAGAGAGCGACGAATAGTACGAGAGGTCGGAAAAAAAAAAAGAAAAAACCCGTGGCATCCTCGCGAGAGGAATCGCACTGGAGCGAGGTCCCAATACCTAGCAAAGAGGATTGGATTTCACTCCTTAATCTGGACGTGTTTGTGGAGAGGTGCAGAACATCGCGATTGATCTGCATATCTGCATCTCTGTGCAAAACTCATCCAGATTCGGGCGCTTTATCCCAATCCTCTTTGTTAGTGGGACCTCCCTCCTGGTCGCCATTTGGGTATTCTTTCGTTTTCCTTCTTTTTTCAAAAAGGACGACGGCCTTGCGATATCATCATCATCATCATCATTGAAGCTGACCGGCCCGAGGTAATTTAGAAAATTATGTTATTCTGGCCATCTGATTGGTCTCTGGATTCGAAGCTGAGTTTGTATTTCAACAGTTCGTGGGTGTACCAACTGAGATACACTGTTCTTTTTTTTTTTTTTTTTTTTTTTTTTTAAAGATACACTGTTCTTTCGTTTTGCCCCTTGAATGGTATAATGGGAGGGCAAGGCCGTCATCCCTCTATTCTCAGGGCATCGCCACACCACTCTCGAAATGTGAAAAAGACAAAAATGTGGCGGATGCATTTGGCCATGTTCTAGCGCGAAGTTCATTCTCATTTTGCACATTGCAAGAGTTGAGTGTGGCGATGCCCTCAGTTGCTTGGTCGGAAAGTCTGGTGGTGGTCCCGCAAGGCGGATCTGGGAGAACCCCCCCTGAGGAGTGAGAGCCAGGAGCGCAGCCTGGGCGAAACGCGTCGGGGAAATTGTGCATTTTGTTTTCCTGAGAGTTGTACATGCGGAGAAGAAATGTAAATACTATGTTGATGCGTGTACGAGAAGCAGTCCATGG